GGCAAACAGTATGGATTACTGACCATAAATAATTGACAACATTTACCAAAATAGGGTAAGAGGCTGACACCAGTGAGGATAAATGAAGTTTTCTCAGACAAAGTTGAACAAAAAAATGGGGTATCTTAAGGCCCTCCCATTGGTGTATCTCTGTTTATTATAGCTATAAATGTCATAGCCAATGACATTAATCTACCAATTAAAGAATTCCTTTATGCCAACTACTTATTGCTTTGCTGCAAAGGAAAAGATAACATAATCTACTATGCCTCAAATAGAAGAATGAGGGAAACTGGTTTCAGATTTTCTGCTGAAAATCACATTTTCTCCAGAAAAAAATAAATTTAAGAAATATTTTAGTAAATAGTTCTAAAATCGAATTGTAAGTCTTTTATTGGATTATGAACTTAATGGAAAAATCGCATTAAAAAAAAAAAGTTCATATATGCACAGTATGTATCAAAGCTTGCAAAAGCCTCTTAAATAAATGGGGTTCAATTCAGAATGGGGGTTCAATTGGTCAATATGAAGCAGGGGAACTGCCATTGAGTTATAGAAGAAATCTACATGTTCTTCGCTATGTAGGAACAATTCATAGTATGCCAGACCACGATAGTTTTAATGTTTGGTATAAATATGATAATAGTATTGAGCCTAATGGATCAGAGATTTTGAAAAGTCAAATAGGACAATAATTCAACCAGTATGAAATTATCAGGCCTACAAATATTATTTCTCATGCAATAGAATATTCTTCACCATGGACAATTTCTTCAATTAAAAATGAAACAGGACTTAACAATTTTCCAAACAACACCCCTATAGAAGCAATAAGATTTATGTATAATGAAATAATTGATGACATATTCTAATCATGAAATAATTTTCAATAACGGATCTAAATCAGAAAAATATGAGGGATGTTATATATTGAATCAAAATATGTAGCATGAATAAATATAAATTGAACAGCAAAAATTCCATTTTCACTATTGAAAACTAGGCAATTCTGAAGGTTTTCGAATTAGTAATCAATAACAATATAGCAAAATCAGTAATTGTGACCAAGCCCATATCAGTGATTAAGGACTGCTGGGCTTGACTAATAACAATTTAATCCGAAAAATCAAATCATGAACTTGTAGCCATTTTAAAATGGTAACGAAATAACAGTGTTATTGGTCCCTTCACATATATACATAACTGCCAATGAACAAGTTGATGAAGGAGCAAAGAAACAGTCAGAAGCTCTGATTCACCTTATTTAGGATTTTTTTTCTTGAAGAATAGACTCAAGAAATTACAAGAAAGTTGGAGAAAAATTAGAACTTACGGGACACCCTGTATATAAAGTTAGTAGTTGTGTTGGACAAGTAATTAAATATGGGATATTCAGAGGAACATTTCTGAGTGGTATTTGTCCTCTATATTAGAAATTATTTCAAACTGAGATGTGAAAATACATGATAACCTATAGCTCAAAATGTAGATGAGTACCTATAGGAGGTTGGTATTATATTCATGAAGTGGCCACTAAAAAATCTAGAGCTAAGTGAGAAAGAGTATGTGTGGAACCAGAATTCCAATCCTATAACACTTGAAAATTTGAAAACTGTCATTTAAAAGTTAGACAATATAGTTCAGGAATTTATAAATAACCTCTTTGAGAACATAGACAGATAATTTATTGTCACTGTTTGTACCACATATTGCTCCAGCTTGTAAGTTAATTTTTTTAAAAATTGAATTATTTGGGAATTTCATAAATTGAATTTTTGGAAAATTTCAGAAATTGAATTTTTCATTTATTTTAAATGACCTAAATATTGGATAATATTTTCCATAAATTAATGTATTTTTAGTAATAGTAAATTATTTTACATAACATGGATATTCCTAGAGCATAAATACAAAAGTACTTTCCCAATGTAGTATGAAGCTAAACCATAGTTTTGATTTTAAAAAAACACAAATTTTAGATAGAGAAATAAATATTAGGATCTTGAATAAGTTTTTGCTGTTTTTTTTTAATTAATGCTTCATTTAATGTAAGTGGTAAAAACATGTTACTCAAAGTATTTCCCATCACTAGCCTCTACTTCCTCCCATCTTTCTGGCAGCATATGAATTCCACATCGGAAAAATGACTAGTCTTTTAAGGCTATTTTAGAATCTATCCGTTTTGGTATCTTCATATGAATAAAAGTGCTACACAGCTAAGCCATGTGCGTTTGAATGAAATATGTGATAATTGGAAGGGACAATGAATATGGCAGGTGGAGAAGGACTTCTCATTTAAGCGTTTCCAGGTGGAATTTTACTGGTTTTGCAACATGTGGCCAAGTGTTGTCATCCAATAAAATTACCTTGTGGAGTCTCTCCTCATGTAGCGTCTGTTTTTCCTTTAGGGCTCAGCAGGGGTGACCATCCCCCCCCCAAAGGTCGATGGCTAGAACTTTAGAACTACAAAAAAAACTTTGTTTGTTCTGTGGTAAACTAACATACACTAAAGTCAAAGCTTATCTGCAATAGTTCTTAGAAAATTGGGTAACCATCTGAAATGAAACATACATACTACTAGTGTTGCCATCTGTTAGAAAACAATGGGAACTTATTCAAGGTCCTAATAAAAAATAGACGTATACTAGAAGCTGTTTATATAACAAAATCATAGCGAAAAATAATCTGTTCCACTACAACCCATGAAACGTTTTGGGTTCTGTACAAGGAAGCACTGTTTCTTGGTCCACCATTGTGCAAGCTGGTAATGGTGACTGTGAATGTACAACTGCCAAATTTTTCTCCTCAATTAACTAAGATTACCCACTTTATATAGGCTGAGTGTGCTACCAATGGTCTCCCGGCCCTAATTTTGATTTATGGCTGGTGTCACAAAATTAATAATTATAGACTAGAACCATGCTTCCTTCAACAAAGAAACAGATGAAGTTAAATTGAAAAGCCATTACATAGATTTAATAAATAGATAAATAATAAACACATCCAAAAAAATGAAGAGATCATAGTAACAAAAATGAAAACAAAATAAATAAATTAAGAACAGTATAAAACTTAAACATTTTAATTACCTAAAAGATATCACTAACTACTTGATTTAACAAGGTTGTAGCAACATTTTTGCCTAAAATGAGATTACTGGTGCTTTTGATTCACCTTTAAGGTCAGTTTTTGTAGTTGTTTTTTTTAATTTTGTTACTTCGCTTACATTTTAATCAATTTAATTTTTACTCATATTGTCTGTGAAGATAATTTAACTGTATTTCGACATATTTTGTATAAAAACCGGTGGTAAAGTATGTTTTTATTAAACCATCTTTAAAAATTAAATTACCACCATATATAAAATTAAGACTATGTTGATAACTTTTATTTATAACAAAAAAAAAGTATTAGAGCCTCAAATTTGTAATTTATTTTTCTCAAAACTAATATTAGACCAGTTAGAACCTTATTATACCAAGTTAGCAATATAAAGAAAGTGAATACAGCAAAGTAAACAAAGATGGTATACAGAAATATGATCCTAAATGAATTCAGTTGTTATAGTGAAAAAAACAAAATTTAAATAAATTGTGATTTATAATGGTCATTACAGTATATAATATAAATAAAATATATATATATATAATGTATAATGGTAGCAAGCCCTGAAGATGAGGCACAGCCTGAAAATTTTGACCAATGAATTTGTGATTAGTTCACAATAAAATGGCCAAAAAAACAAGAGTTGATTTAAAATGCTTGGTAGAATATTTCCTGCATGTCATGAAATTCAAAATATATTTTTAATTTTTTTTTCAGTAATATGAAAAATAACAAAAAGTACACTTCCAAAGTCTGTATAATGTTTTTTATATACATGAACCCTCTCTCAAAGGACCTTCCTAGTCATATAAATAGTATAAATGACAAATATTTATGATTCCAAAAGTTTTGGTTTCTCATCAATTCTATTTTATCTTACAGAAATGATAATTTTTATTCATGAATTATTTAGCAATGAAAATGTATTCAATAATCATCATAAGCATCATATTTTATGTATATTTATGTATTTGTGTACATTTTTTTCAAATCATTCAAGTTACAGTTATACCACTATGTGTAATATCCCCAAGCCAATATTTATTAATATCTTTTCATTTTAAAAGGAGACCCATATGTCCTCCGTAGCTTCAAATCCAACTTAGCAATGCCTTTATAGCAACAACAATGAATTAAATGTTATTATATCAAAATATATTCCCATGATTCTTTATTTGGAACATTATTTTTATTAGTTTTAGGTATTATATACAATACTTTAATCAAGTATTTATTTTCTTATTTTTTATTTTTTGGTCATGCTTATTACCATTAACTTTTACTTTCTTATAGATTTTTTTTAATAATCCAAACCCAGAGAAATTCAGATAATGAGATATTAAGAGATAAGAAATGCTAAATATTTTAATTAAAGGTCCATAGTCCTAGTATTAATTTTTGAATATAAGATTTGTTTTCCTTTTTTATAAGTTAATATTAATTCCTAAGCTGGAACTTGTCATCAGCCAACTGTAGCCCAAGGGATCTCGAATTCAACTGAAAATATTCGACAAAAGCCTCTCCCTCCTGAATCTGCATTCTTTTTATTATCAAAAAATAACAGGTGCGTTTGAAAGCCCTTTTGTGAAATGTGGATGAATTTATGAAGTTAGTCCACTCTATAGTGATGCTTTGTTTTACTGTTTTTTAACTAAGCTGTATGAATCACTAGTATGTAGAAAAATACATACTTATTCAATGTAGGATTGCTTCCTGAAAATTTAAGATTATTTAAAAGCTATTAAAAGTAATGTATTAGACAGTTATGTTCTGCATGGTAAATTGTTTTTTTTTTTTTATCAATGTGTATTAAATTGATGTTATGTAATATTTATGTAGAGGTCTTATTGATGTGTAGTTTTTATTTTATATATTTTATTATTTTTGCATGTTAGACTATGAAGAAGAAGGTATCAGAGCAAGGCCCAGAAGACTATCAGAATTCAATATTGCTACCAAGCAACAGCCGATTCCTGATGCATCTTCCTTCTTTCTATTTTCTAGCACAAACAGGTGATGAGTCAAATTGCCAAACACCTACTGTTAATTTAACGTTTTATTTTAATAACGAATCTTTCAAAGCGCTAATTGTCTTAAGTTTTGTGAGAAGTCAATATTTACATGATACTTTATTTTTTTTATTCTTAGATAAACAATTTTCTGTGGATAGGTCTGACGTATATTCTTTGAATTCATTACAAAATATTAAGTATTAAATTATGTATTGCATCATCAACTAACTTCATTACTTTAAAAAAAATATCTTTCAATCTCCAAAAAAAATATTTCAGTTTCGTAAATGATCTCCAATATTGACAATATTGAAAATATATAATAATAAAAACTATTTTGGACTTTACTCCAATATTGTTACTTTCTTTCTGTTTCATTCTTATTTCTACCTATTGTTTAAAAAAAAAAGTAACAAGTGCAAAAAACTAACTAAGACAATCTGAAAAGTCAATAATACTGAAAAAAAATCTCTGTAAAGATGATTTGAATTGTTAATGATTAAATTTATAGGGACTTCAAAATGAAAAAAATGAGTTCTAATGAAAGATGAGTTCTGAATAAAGATTTCTGAAAGGTAAAAAAAAATACTTATTCAGGTAGAAAAATAATTTACTGGTATTCTTCATTGTTACACTAGATTTCTATTCTTTAATTCTTATAAAATATTAGATAGCTATGTATATACTTTTTTTTTAAAAGTAGAGATTTAAGAAAACTATCAAAATGCTTGTTGCTCTTCTTCTTTCAATCAATGCTAGCATGTTATTGAGCTAAATTATTAGAAATTTCAAGGTAAACTTGGGAAAAAAACATTAAAAATAAGTTCATATAAATTTATCAGCCATTCAATATTTTATATCTAAAGTTTGAGATAGAAATATGTTTGATTCTCATAGAGTGGAATCTACTTACAATGATACTGGGTGGTAATTTTGGACTTAACTATCTTATGAAATATCTTGGATTGGTTTCTAGACATAATGATATTGGTTAAAACAATAATTTGGAAATAGCTATCTTATTTTTAAAGTAAAAATGGTCCATTAATTTTCATAAAATATATTTTTTAAATTATATCCCTCTTTTCTGTTTTGAAAAGTGAGGTAGGTTAGACCCTAATCTCCTTACTTATTGCCCAAGGTTTAAGTCCGACAGTGGCATAAAAGTTTTGTTTTTTAATAATAGTTCTAGTATTGGAAGACCTTCCTCCTGGAATAAAATCATCCTCTATAAAGAATGGTCTAACCAATGTTTTTTTATATTTATTTAAATCACTGAATAATAAAATAATGTTACTCTATGAACATATATAGTAAATGAATTCATTTAAATCTTTTCAATTTTTATTTTTTAATTAAAATATAATATCTTCACATCTTTACTGTTTGATGAATATAATCGAAAAATTACTTTAGCTGTAAAAAAAAATTAAATAGTTGTTAAAATAATTTTGTTGCATGTTTCCTATTTAAATTTTTATTGTTATTTGTTTTCAATATAATTTATAACTGTTTCATAATTGTATAATTAACTAAATAGTTAATTTAGTTGCATGAATCCTCCTTAGATGGCTATATATAGTAAGACACATTTATTTATTTTATAAAAATAGTGAATAAGCTGAGAGGAAGAAAAGTCAGCATAAGAGTCACAGTTAACTACAAGAATCATTTCCTAAAAACTAGTGTTAATCATATGATCCTTTAATTATAAATCCTTGTTATATATAATGTATAATAGGAAGTATCTGTCTTTGACCTACTTTTCAGTCCAATATTAATATTTATTTTTTTAAATTATTGATATATCCACTAAATCAATTTTAACAATTATTTATTAGTCATACAATAACCTACGTTTTTATTTGAATTTTATTCCATCGCACAATTAAAGTTTCAGTGTTGTTACTCAACAAACTACTACTTACTTATTACTCGAGACCGGATCTTCATGCAGTAAAAATCTGAAAAACATGCAGCAAAAAGCACAAAATGGTGCAATGAAAACAAAGTAGATCTAAATATGTGTATTTGACATGCAAAAATATTTGTTTAATTTATTTTATTAGTAAATAAAAATCTGATCAAACATTCTGATAAAAAGTTATAGTTAAAAAAAATCTATAACAAGAAAAAAAAATTTAAAAACTAGATTGAAAATGAAATTCCTTTAAAATTTTAGAAAACTTTAGGACTACTCTGTAATATGTATTTGTGCTTCTCAAAGGTTCAAATATTAGTGTTGATGCTGCTTTTCTATACGATTAATCAAATACTTTTGGGTCTTATGCTCTTTCTAAAAAAAAATTAAATTCTTTAATAGAAATATTTGTTCATACCTGTTCTTCAATAAGCGTCTATCTGTGATTTATGATGACACCCGATTGATTTTTCATAGACCGTTCAGAAAACAACTTTCCTATAAAATTTCAACTAGATGTAATTTGATATCCAGATATTCATTTTTGATAAGATCCTAGATTTTCTATCCTAGATTGAAATTCTACTTTCACCATAATTCATTTCTTGTTTTAATTTTAAATAATAATTAAATTACTAAAACTTACTTCAAAGACGAAAGGGATACTCAAGGGCTGTGAGAATTAAATCAAAGCATTAAATGTCTTTTTATCAAAACAGATTATTCTAGGAACGTAGTTTATTATTGTTATCCAATACTCTTGACAAGTTCTATTCCAAGAATATTCCCCATTTGTATTAATTTTTTCCATCTGTAACATTAAATTCGAACCATCGCTATACACGGAATTATTTACCTTCCTCATATTTTCCCAACTTAAATTATAAATTTAATATGGACAATATAGTAAAATAAAAAAGTAAGTATTTACACAAACAGATATATGTGTATTTATTAATTATCTAATCTAGTAAAAAAGTGAAATTTAATGCATCAAAAATCAAAAACTTGCAATTTAGGACAAAAACAGCAAAACATACAATTTCGTGCAATATTAATTTTTTAGCCCAGTCAAATTAGATTTGTTACCTTTCAAAAGTTCATGTAATTCAAATTTCTTTTTTATATTGCTAAGTATGTGGTGAATATTAAAAATCCAAGTTTCCGCCCTTGAAAGCCTTGTGGGTTATATTCAATCTTAAACAACTTAAAATTATCTAACATGTTTTTTCTAAACCCAACAGGAGGCGAACTATTGAGCTTTCAAAATTTGTCCATTTTAATTTCATCACAATAGTGCTCTTTCATGTTTGAACGAATGGATTGTGTAACTCCATTTTGAACCTTGTAGAATTTGGAGGTTTTCCTTGAAGGTAATGAGCCATGGTAGACCGTAGTCGGGAGATTTTTTGAAAAGTTTGTTACACAATGGGCCATACCCTCCTAGTGTACAACCTTCTCCTGCATACCAATAAATTGCATATAATTGTGTTTCTTGTTAAAAAAAATCCAATGTAGCCACAAAAAAAAGTGGCCACACTGTCCCAAAGTGGTGTCGAAACATGGCAGGTTGATGTCTTTGACTTGAGTTAGTTTTTTAGTCACTGAGATTCAGAATTTGGCTTTTTATTAAAGCCAGATAGTTAGAGAAAACAAAACATGAAAAAATGTTAAACAAATAGTTGACTTTGGCAATAAAAAAACAACAGTAAATTCAATTTTTTCAAGTCGTTCAAACTAAAGTTGAAAATTAAGTGTCGTTTGTAAATAAACGACCAACAATAACGAAAAACGACCGAAAATAAAACATTTTGAGAATACATTTCTCTTTCTAAAACATCAATTATTTTGTAAAATATTTGAAACAGTCACTTGGAAAATAAACATAATCGGCGGAAAAGCGGCACTGGCATAGTCACCTAGAGTCCTCTGCCATATCATTCAATATTCATAAATGACATAATAACATTATAGTAATATAATAACGTTTTCAGTACATTATTTTTTTTTTGTATTAACGAACAAATATAAATATAATAATTTAATTCTCCAAAAACATTTTTTTTTTACTTCCTATATTCTCAATATAATTATACCATTTATGAATACTGAATGGTGTGGTATAAATGTTATATTAAAAGCAACAAGAACAGCAGTAATTTTTGATGACCAATTTCATTCACATGGGTGGTAACAGTAAAAATAAAATTATTAGGATTTTTTCAAATATCAAAACATTATTTTCTTTTTAGCGATTTGTATTTAAGTTGTTAAGTTTAGAACAATATGTTTCGTGTAAAAGCTGTAGTAAATTGTTGGTGCTTTAATATTTAATTTAAACATTTGAGCTAAGTCATCTATAAAAACAGATAATTAGTTAAAAATAAAAATTATACATGTTTTTTTGCAAATTTTTAAAACTTTACTCATTTTGAAAGCTCAATAGTTTGCTTCCTGTTGGGTTTAGAAAAAACATGTTAGATAATTTTAAGTTGTTTAAGATTGAATATAACCATTTTTTATCTATGTCGCTCTAAAAAAGAAATATTTAGCATAAACCAAAAAAAGTTTGAAATATCAATGGTTTTTGGAGCACTGCAGTGAACCCACTAGGTTTTCAAAGGTGGAAACTTGGATTTTTTATATTCACTACATACTTAACAATAAGACAACATAACATCTGAATAAAGAAGACATTTAGATTACCCGACCTTTTGAAAGGTAGCCCCCATTTTTTTTTATGCTAATTTTATTGGGCCAATATGTTAATCTACAGATCGTGAAATGGATAGATATTCTGGTTTAAAGTTTTTATGCACAAGCTAATAAAATATCTAATAACATGAAAATCCGGTTTCTACCTATTACTTATATATTTTTTTCTTGAAAGAAAGGTTTCCAGATTATTGGGAACATAATTTTCACGTCATAAATTTGTTATTTTCTTTAATTATTTTCCTTATGTTACTTTTCTTTCCTCTTCTCAGCCTCATTTTCTTATCTTAAGAAAATTTATGATGATGTTCCTTATTAAATAATAAAGGTAAATATAGATTATGATCTACAACTACTTAACCTTTTATTAACTTTTTGTATAATTAATAATCAAGTTTTTTGAGATTTCCATCATGCTAAAATATTCACAATCAATATTACCGGTGAAGTTTTTCCAACTTAATCATATATTCCTCTGAAATTTATTTAACTGATCAGATGTGGTTCTCTCTAATACTAGAAAATAATTCAGTATGTAAATCTAACTAAGCAAATAATTCATTATGTAAATCTAATCATCACAAAACCATTTATTTTAAATAAATATTATTGAATTGTTTGTTCTTTATTTCTATCAAGTTTTTCTTATATTCAAATAAGTAATTTTTTCCTTTGATTATATGTTCTATTTAATATTTACATATTTTATGAATAAATTGTTAAAGTAATTTCTATCATTCTAATATTCTGAAAACACACTTAATAAAATGTAAAACTTAAGTTCAAATTAATGGTCTTAAAAATATTATTTTTAAAATTTATACTAAATAAGTTCTTTTTAAATTAAACTTCCTCAATTTTAATAAATATTATTAATTTTATTATTTATTAAACTATAGTAGAATAGCATTGAAACATAATTAATAACATGATATAATACTATATTGAGTACCAATTTTATGTATAAATTGAATAATAATAGTGTACTTCACAGATTTCACTGTTAGCAATTTATTAAACTAAATTATAGATTTAAAAAATCACATCCTTGTTATATTTTGTACAGGTTTCGAGTTTTTTGTCATTGGTTTTGTAATCACTCTCATTTTGGGAATGTCATTCTTGTATGCATCATGGTATCATCGGCACTATTAGCAGCTGAAGATCCTATTGACTCAAACTCGCCTAGAAATAAGGTAATTTTAATAAATATTTAGTCATTTTTAGTGAAATTAATCTATAAAATGATTGTTGGAGGTGCAGTCAGAATAAAATACACTTACACATACTCTTAAACAACAACCTGTTTAGGGAGTCTGAGGTTGTTCTAGCAACCTCCACCAGACTTTTCCTTGTGTTGCAGCAGTCCAATTTGGGTATCCAGCAAGACTTCAGCATATGCTACTATACCATCCTGTTACTTTTCCTGAGTTATCCCATTCTCCTTGTTTAGTAAAACTTCTCCATGATAACATTTTTCAGGCCTTCATGACATGACCTTGATGACATCTAAGTCTTCCTAACTTAGTAAATTGGAATATGTTGGCATTTTTTATAGGTCATATAGTTCTGGTTTTTTCCCCTGTTCCCTCCAGATTCCTCCTTATTTATCCTCAAAGGTTCTCCTCAGCACTTATTTTTCAAATATTAGGAGTAAATATTTTTCAGACTTGTTGTTTGCCCGTGCTTCTGACCGACAAGTGAGCATAAAGAGTTCTAGAGCCTTGTGCAATTACTTTCTGCAAATGCTGACATGCATGTTGACATAAAATTGACAAAGAAATAGAGCAGAAATAAAACCACCAATAATGAATATTCAATCTTTAATGAGTGTCGAAATAAGCATTGTTTGTCATTTTTTTTATTGGCATAATTAGATTCTAGGTGGATATAAATGGATTCAGAAATGAGTTTTTCACAGAGATGGGCAGATGCTACTTTGAATACCAATTACCGGGTGTATTACTCAAATACTCCCTTTTTTTGAGTACCAAAGAATATAATTATTACTTCAGTTGATGTCGAAAGATTAACTGAAATAGTGATTGAATTCCCAATAGTGATGCAATTTGAGTAAAATACTTGGTACTCTGTACTCAGAGTAGCATTTGCCCATCTCTGTTTTTTCATAAAGGATGAAAAAGTCTGGTAGATCTGGTGTTATTACAATTTAAGAAAGAGATAAATTGTTCTTAATTCATTCACCGAGTAGAGGAAATCATAGTAAAAATATTGGTTCATACTGGTTGTAACATATAGCTCCTTTGATGTTGTTCAACTCTAAGGGACTGAATTGTGATATTTTGGGAAACTGAAATTACTTACACGCTTTTATAGGCTACATTATAGCAGCATGTCTCTTTACTTTTTAAAAACTAAAATAGGTTTTATAATTATTTCAAAATTAAATAATTCTTTCAAATGAGAAGCACTTATGTTAGTATTGGTTAGTATTTATATTAGTGTGTTGTATTTATAGTTCTTAAATACAATTCATTTCCATCAAGCCTTATACAGGGCCTATTAGGTATACCGGATATGTACAAGTTTTTTTTAAGTAACTTTTTCATTGAATAGGAAATAATTATATGATTATAAATTATATAATTATATTCATTGAATAAATAATAATTTAAAAAATATTTAAAGTAGGTAATTATCAATCAGCATCATAAACTAGACAAAATTTTCAACATACTGAAAGTATAATTGGTTTTTGTTAAAACTATTTTAAGGAGACTTTTAAGCGATTAAACTTTTGGACAAATGTTCTTGTTTAATAACTATCATGAACTCGGTTAAAACTGATGTTATAATTTTAACCCTAACAGAACAATAACCTTTTTAAGTGCATATTAGTTAAGTTGAGATGTTTTACAGAATAAAATAAGATTTACCTGCAATTTTGTGAAAACATAAGGTGATTTCAAAATCTGTCTCCTCAACGTTTCAGAGTTTTTAGCCAAAATAATCTGTATATAGTTAATATAATTGAGGGGATTACCTAGTGGCGAATAAAATTGGCATGTAAAATCGTTGGGCTTAGTAACTGAATATGCACTGTGCTGATTACTAAACATCCGAGTGATAGATCGAAGCAAAGGTGGAAAGATAACATTAAAGCTGATCTGCCAGGGCTGAGTTTGAATGGTAGCCAATGGAGGGAGGTGTTTAGACAACAATTAATAGTATTGGCATTGAACCTTCTGGTTCATTTAGCCTTTTACTATTATTATTATAATTTTTACAAAACTGGAGGTAACTATCAGTTTATTCCATAAAAAACCTCAAGTGATATAGACTTAACACTTATTAAAAGAAGACTTTTTTATAAAGTTTTTTAAATAAAGAACATTTTTGTTGTAAACGAGGTGTGAAATTAACCCCTGGCCTATGGTCCATTGGTTCTTATACACCCTGTGTTTTCAAGAGGTATATTTACTAATTTAATTTCCATCTAAATTGTATCTTTTGATGTTACTAAGATTAATATGTCATATTTTATTTTAGTTTTTAGTTCAACTGCAATTAAATTCATAGTATTGATGTTTAATGCATACCTAATCCCTTATGTTTTTGTTTTATGGATTATTCTGTATGTAAATAATCTATGTCTCTTTTCTAAATAAAATATATATTTTTTTTATAAACTTAAAAGTATGTCATTGTAACTGAATTGATAAATACCAAAATTGTTAAAAGCTCTGTTTACGTTTGGTATTAAAAAATGTTTTATTTTCTTCAAAAAGCTTCTATAATAAAAATTATTAATATTTGCTATGTCTGTAGTGCAATTTTCTAAAGTACTGAACGAAATTGTGATTTTATACTTTGTTTCTTTTTAACTTTCAAAATATTAGCTTTTTCTCTTGTAGGTATCATAAAGATAGGTTATTAATGAAACGTCAATTTTCTTCTTTTTTTTTTTTTTTTTTGCAGCTATTGATACTTAAAAGTACTATGTGTATACAGCTATTAAAAATTAAAAATCTATAATTATTTTCTTTTCTAGGTTCTTGGCTATTTTGACCAATTTTTTACTACAGTTTTCACAATAGAAATTTGTCTTAAGATGATTTCCTATGGATTTGTACTACATGATGGAGCATTCTGCCGCTCTGCTTTCAATTTATTGGATCTGTTAGTGGTCTGTGTTTCATTGGTTTCTATGTTTTTCAGGTAAGGCTGATTAAAAATGGAAATGTAAAATACTACATAAAATATTTAGATTATTCTGATTCTTTGGAATTGAATTATTATTTTATAATAGATAGTTAAAATGTAAGTTTAATGTATGCTATAACTATATCATTATAACTAGTTTATTTATTCTTAGTTTGATTTAGTTTGGAAGTTCTCCTTTTCCAGTTAGTGTATTTGGCAAATTCAGCTTCCTTTAAAATTTCTTTTATTAATTTCAGTAAAACACTTGTTGACATTTTGAGAAATAATTTTTTTCTGAATTTCAATTATTTACCATCATTCTTGATTCTCCTGTTGTAATGTAATAAAATATTGTTTGTTACGTTATGTTTCTTTACATATTCAAGAGCTGTTTTAGTGACTAACAATTAGAATCCTGGATTACTTCTGATTGCTTTGTTTGTTTTTTCTCCTAACCAAATAAACCTACTTTTATAACTAGTTTTTAGTATAAAAATTAATTATATTATTGGGTTGAGCTATGGGGCTCCACTAAACCATCGAATTCCTCTCGCATCCAATCCTTACAATCCAAAATCCTTCGTAAAATCCTCAATGCTCCTTACTTCGTCACTAATAAAATTATCCATAAAGATCTTAATGTTCCTTATGTTTCAGATCTGGCCCAATCCAGATACCTATCCTTCCATAATAAACTTCAGAATCATCCCAACCCTCTCGTTTCTAACCTTGCTTCCTCTTCAATTCCTGATAACCCTCCGAGGCGTCTGAAAAGAAGATGGCCCCGTGATCTCCTAATGTAGTCATATCATTAGAGTGCTACCATTGGGTAGTTACTCAGCAAGTGTATTCATGCCATTATATCAATTATGTCCAAATTTACTTGATGTATTTATGTAATACAGTTGTAAATGTCATAAAGAAAAAAAAAATAATAATAATAAATATTATTGGGTACAAATAGCCCAAGATAAGCTGAGATGAAGAAGGCTGGTTAAAGCGGCTAAAGATCTATTTATTTTATTATTTTTTTTACAAGGTTGATAATGCAAAAAAAAAAAATTGGGTACGAATTTTCAAAATCAATAAATATATGTATATATACTACATTTTATAAAAATTAATATTAATAATTAAAAATTAAAAATAAAATAGTTGGTTTTTAAGTGAAGATTGAAATATAATAAAAGTATTATAATTTGTCAATTAACTAGGAATTTTGAATTATCTTAATTTGAATTTATTTTTACAGCTCAGGTGCAATATCAGTAGTGAAAATCCTAAGGGTCCTAAGGGTTTTAAGGCCTCTCCGTGCAATCAATAGAGCAAAAGGTTTGAAGGTAAGAATTAATTATTTATTTTTTGTTATAGATTAAAGCAATAAATACTCTCTTACATTGATGTCTAAAATTTTACTTATGCAATGAGAAAACTATCTTATTTAAATGAGTTATAATGACACATGTCACTCCATTGTTATTATATTACCAGGTTTTATATGAAAGTGATTTCTTAAAAAAAAAAGAAAAAAATATTTTTTTCTTAAATCAAATGTTTTATATAATGGGTCAACATTAATCAATCATCTATTTAAATATTTGTTTCCTTTATTAAATTAAAAATATTTCTGGCCAATTCATTTGTAAACAGATTGATCTTCATCATTTCTTTAGTAATAGAATATTATATATCTACAATGTTAAAAATAAAACAAAATAATTCTGGGTCAAAGTATCATATGTAAAATATTTTAAAATGCACAGCATAAGCAATTTAAATTGAAAAACTCTAACTAGTGATGGTGCCAAAACATTAAAAAAATAGAAATTATTTGACTGAGATAGATAGTACAAATACATTCAGCATAGCAGGCGAAATACCAAAATGTTCATGGAAATTTCATTCTAATGTTGTAAGTTTTTAATAATTTCAGATCCTTAACTTTTAGGAATTAATTATCTAAAATATTTCATTAATCGTTGGTTTTAAAAAAATACTTCCTTGATGAATTAAACAATATATTAATCTATTATCCATAATATGAGGACGGAATGAATGAACATGTTGGTGCGTGGGCCCCAGAATGCCCGGTTCTAAACTATGTTGGTTCGATTCCCACCTGGATCTGTTAATTTTCATTTCTTGGCAGCCCCAGGAGATGGATCTTGGCATCCCCACTCTGGTAAGTACTCGGTGACAACCTCAAGGTAGCCATGAGGGGTTGCCAAAAAGGACTATGATAGGGCTCACTTGCCGGACTAACTCCCCCACCAAGTACCAGTACCAATACAAGTATCATCCATAATATTATCTCTAAATAGTAATAGAGATAAAATAAAACATTTTTTATTCACTCTTTCTCTATTTTGATAAGAGGCAAATACAGTACAACTATAATTAATATACAAATACTATTATTATAATGACGATAGTTATTATATTATACAATAAAAATGTCAAAATTATTATTGAACCCTCGAATAGTATTGATTTATGTATGGTATAAATGTATTCCATGTTAGCAAAGGTGCTCATTCTCCCCAAGCTGAGAGGCTCATGATCTCTCCTGACCAAGAATTTTGATAGCCTTACTGTTCTTAAAAACGAAAGTAGAATTATAAAAGTTTTAGTTTCTATACAATTATACTTGCTGTGGTGTGTTGCAAAATTTTCCCCTTGTTTGAGGTACCTCTTGAAGAACTTTTGTTTAATGGTTCTTCCAAATTGAAATTCCACTAAAATAAGGTTCACTACAAAATTCATAATCCTGTAAAAAAAATTTGCCCTCCTCATAAATTCAAACTCCCAAAAAAACTGTACCCCATAAATTCAGAACACCATAAAAATGTGCACACTTTAAAATATTTGATGCCTCATCACTCCCTCTGGGCATCCTTGTCTGTTTGCACTATTTCATTTAAAATTTTCATACATTTTTTATACCATTTATTCTTATTCCTTTCATCTAGCAGCAGCTTATGGATGAAAGCTTCTAAGATAAATATTTAATGTATATGTTCATCAATTCTTATAGAAATTTTCTGTAAATTAGAAGTTAAAATATATCTGACATGATATTAATTAATTAGAATATTTTAATTTATTTTTCTCAAACTTATAACTTTTCCTTTATAAAATGTTATTTATAATTATAATGATCATTTTCTTTCACTAATAAACAGCAAATACATACTTTTGTTAAATCTCTATTTGATAGCCACTCCTCAGTGGCTAATTAACTTTAACCTTCATATGCATCTGGTCAAGATCTTATAAGTTAAAGCCATTTTTACCAATAACATGATTAAATATAAACATAATATCAGTTTTATGTGTAATTATATATTGAATAATAATTCAACTCTACTACTGGTTTCTTTTCAAAATAAAAAATCCTAAAACAAGAAAAATTAATTGGGGTAAATGATTTAGGTTCCAGAGCGAGGTACTTTTGTTGCCCTATTGTTCAAGTAGGCTTTGAGGGAAGCTGGTGATAAATCAGTGACTTATGTAGATGACATTGACAAAATAGACATGATACTACTGAGGTATTCCTGATATTGAGGAAATCAGTAAGATGAAAAAGACTTGAGATAGATGTAATCAAGACAAAATATTTTATAACTATAGAAATTACTAGACCTGGTGAAACTATAGACCAGTGATTTTCAATTTTTAAAAATTCCAGTTTACCTGGGATATTTTGTTATTCAAGATAATACTCTTGTCCAAGTGGACCTAATGGAAATTTAAGTGGCTAACCCTACATACTTTGGACTCCTTCATTATCTTAGAAAAACTTGCCTCTTGCTCCACTAGATTAACTTGCTGGAAAAATAAAGGTACACTTTTGCAAAATACTAATTAGATGGACTAGCTTATATGGGGCTGAATCATGAACAAAATCTTAAACAAATAAGCTTCAGCTGGAGGTGTTAGCAAGATTCTATATATACTGTAGATAATAAGTTGGTGAAACATTAAGCATAGATATTATATTTATAAAGAAGTTAATAATCAAATTAATTACAAAATAAAATAATTTTTTTATTCTGTACAGACTGAGTATTAAAAGGTTTAGTATGACTTTTGAAGTTTATCTTGGGTGATATCAACTTGTAATAGCTGCCAAGTTGGTCAGTTTATTGTTAACCTTCTTAAATATAATGATTTATTCTGACTGCCTTAATTTTTTACTCTCAAAGTGTACTGTTTTTGATCAATAATCACTACAACTTAAATCTGACATAATGACTTACAATTTTATTGTTGTTTTTATACATGAATGTACTACATATATAACATGATAGTCAAGCACCATGTTTTTATTCTTCTTTTTTCTTGCCCCTATTGCATCCCAGAAAGACCAAAAGCATTAGTTCACTTCCATTACTCATTTTTATCTCAGGACCATTTGACGCATGTGGAAACTATGTCTTTCCTCTCCTCCCCAATCCTTCCAAATACTCCCTTTATGCCACTTAAGGTCATCCTACTGATCTTCTCCCTTCTGATCTAGACTCCATGTACCATTTGGTCATTCAAGTGTCAGAGATTCTGCAAACATGTCCAAACCACTTTAAGTTCATGTTCTTCTATTTTTGCTTTTATTTTGTCTACATATTTATAAAGTTATATCCAGAGAAGCATTGTAAATACTTGGTTGGGTAATCACCCTCCTGAAAAAAATTAGTGTCCCAAGATTCTTGAATGATTAATTATCCACGAAATCCTGAATAAGTGAGCCTATTGGCCTACTAGAGGAAACTCGCATTGACAACAGAAAGAAGTGATGGTGTATCTTGTATATGCTAATGTAGAATCATGATAGGATTCTAGTTTACTATGATAATGTTAAGTAACTACCTGGAAAGGCTTATAAGGAAAATTACAGATCATATACAATTACACTTGCTGCGGTCTGTTGAATCCTGTTGAACTCTAAGTTTGAAACTTTTCGTTCTAAAAATTCACAACCCTGTTGAAATGTACTCTTCTATATAAGTCAAAAACCCATCAAAATATGCTCTTCTCAAAATTTTTGATGCCATGAAATCCTCTTCTGGGCACCTCTGCTGTTTAGTGTGTGTGTTTGTGTGTTAGCTTGAGCAGGTGTGATCAAACTCCTCCTTCAGTCTTTTGCTACATTCCTCTCTGGCTTTATCTACTGTGTACACTTATTTAACACCATGGCTAGCTGCCTTGTCTTTCCAAGAGGTGAAAAGTCTTCTCTTCCAAGATTTATTTTTGGTATAGTATGTCACCAACGTCTTAGCCAATCTTCTCTAGTAATCCATCTCCACTAAGAGTAACCTATTCTCTACTCTAAGGGTCCAAGTCTCAGAAGCATTTTTACTGGTATTCACTAAAACTTTTAACATTTATTAGATGTTTTAATTGTAAATAGATGTTGCTGTACACGTGTATGTAAATTATTAGTTTATTTTAATTATTTTTATTTCACTTTTTTTTCTTAGTTGATTAAAGTTAGAAGGTAACTTATACTTTTTTATTATGTCTATTTGTTTATTTTTTAATTATTCTAATATATCTCTGAGGCGCCAAAGCCCACATTTCTGTCTTTGCATGTTATTCTAAAGGAAATTGACCCAGAATAAATAAAGTATTATTATGAAATAGGTACATATGAACAGTGGTTTCAGTGATCAAGGAACGTTTCACTTGAATGAATACACTGTATATTAGCGTTTTCATCTTTTTGAGCTTTTTTATACTTCAAAGAAGTAAATAAAACATAAAATTAGATTTTCTATCATTATTTGTTCTATAAGTAATCTCAGTTTGTTTTTGTTTTATTTTTTGTTCCAATAGATTTCCAAATTAGACCTGTAATACAAGGTTGGCTCTGCTTTATTTAAATTATTAAAAAAATATTTATTTACTTCATTTACTTATTTTTAAAACACTTGTTTTAAGCCAGTCTGTGGTTGTTTTCACGTCTAAAATATCTATCATTTAAACTCTTGTATCCTCTAAGTAGCTCACATCTTCACCAATCCCCTTCATTCAGAACCTTCTGCTGATAATTTATACAAATGAACTGTATCTTGTATTTATCCAACAATATAGGATTTGCAGCCTGACAGATTTCTTCATTGGCTTTTAGCATGTTTTACAGAAACCTTTTTCTCTTCTTTCATAGAAAACATTGGCCATGGACTATGTTTCACAAACATTCTTAATTCAAAATTTTGTAATGTGATAATTACATGTGAATGAATAATGACTGAAGAAAGCCATAGCATTTGTTTTAAAAAATGATATCTTGAATGTTTCATTTTATTATTTTTTTAATGCTGTGCCATCATCCAGAAAATCCTTTACTATCCATCGTATAGTTATTTTCTCATTTTATGATTAAAGTGTTTTATGTGTTTCACAGTTAAAAATTGATTTTAAAAGTCAGCATTTTCATAAAACCTAAGATGTAACACAATACATTTATTTTCAGCTTAGATAGAAGGTGTGGAAAAAAAGTTTTAAATTAGACTAACATATTTATAATTTAGATGTGATATTTAAAATAAAATCTATTAAACATTATAGACCTAATCATTTAGAATATTAAAATTTATCAATCTCAAATTAGCCTTATGTTAGTTATAGTTGTGTTTTGCTTTACTTATTATATACTTATGATTCCTCGATTTACATAATAATCAGAAATAGATGACATAAATATGTTGATGAAATGATTATTGACATTTTTAAAGTTTTATTTCTATTAAATGCCTCACAACTGTTTTATTTTTTTAGTTAAAAAAAATACATCAAATTATTTTAATTTCTGAGAAAAACAGCAAATGTACTCAAGTTTCATTTAATTGTCAAAATTCTACTTAAAAATGTGAGAAGGTCGTCCTCATTTTTTTCTTCTGTGGCATGATGTTTTGACACCATATCGTAATATTTCATCAATGTTCAATGTTAAATCTAATATGATTAAATTTCCATATTTTTTTTTACAATTTATTGTATCTTTGATTAATGTTGACCCATCATGTAATGTTTAGCATGTAGTGCAGTGTGTGATAGTCGCAGTAAAAACTATTGGAAACATTGTGCTGGTAACGTGCCTCCTAGAGTTCATGTTTGCGGTCATAGGAGTACAATTATTCAAGGTAGGGCAGATGCCTCCTGAACTTCCCCTCATCTGAATTTGTCATGCATTACTTAATTGTTCTGTTTTAGTTATCTCCTGAAACACTAAAACTCCCCTTCCCAGAGTGGCCTCAATTCTTGTTATGTTGACCATCAATGGAAAGTTATTGCTTTTTTTTTCCTTATTTCCTTATATTTTAAAGCTTTGACTTAAACTTGTATACATCCAAGATTAATATTTGCACTAATTGACCTAGTTATCATTAATAGTAAGGATTTAAATTCCAGCACACCTTAATTTTAGTTGAATAATTTAGAGATTTTAAAAATTTGTCAGGGACATAAGTATTATCGATGTTTCATAATCATAATTTCAATAGCCTGGTAATAAATATGTCCTAAAAGGAGTTATTAAAAATAATAAAAACCTTAACCAAGTATCTCTTTCATTACTTTTGGTTAAACATTCACAACAAAATTAAGAAAACAATGTTTTTTTTATTTTTTAAACTTGATTTAAATTTTAAATTAAATAATTTATATTCATGATCCTTTATTATTATGGCACTTACATAATTTTTAACTCATTTCAGAACTTACACTGGAAAATGTGCCCCAGTTATTTACAAATTAATGTATTAATCTTTAAATGCTTGTTTAGACCAAAATTTTTCCGTATGATAACTTAATTTTTACTGTTCATTAATCTTTAGGTACTAGGAAAACTATTAGAAAATATTGCTTATGTATTAATTAGTTCTTTGTAATTTTATTAAATTGATTTTTTTTAATCTAAATAACAAAACCTACCTAAGCTATTCAAAAGTTACCATGGCTTTATAAAAAATTATAAAATCTTTGCTGGTAGGAAATCTGTATTTACCACATAAGTACATATGATTGCAAATCCAACAATTAGAGACCCTGTATTGTTTGTGAATAAGTACCTATACAATTTTCCATTTAAATTAAAAAATATCAACTCTTTTCTACAAAACTGGTTGTGATGGAATATGGGTAGCTATATAAAGTTACAGATAAAGAAAAAAGGGGAATCGATAATAGTGTTATTTGATCATTTAAAAAAAAATAGAATTTTTTTTCTACCAAAGAACAAAAAATTTATTTTTAAATTAAATAGGAGAGATTAGAGAGAGTTAAGGTGAGTGGGAAATATTTTATCAATCCTTTTTTGATTGAAGTTTATAATAATTACAGTAATAAAAAAATCAATTAATAATTAAGGAATACAATAATATTTTTTACTCTTCTTTATTCAAGTAAAAATCTATGTTTTAAGGACAACTCTTTAAATTTAAGTATAGTAGAAAGGATTTAAACTAACACTCCATGTCAAATATTAGTTTTATTAATTATTAATTCTCTAATATACTATCTATTAATCAGAATTTTCTTTATAAAACTCTTCCATATCATTTTTGTTTTTATTCTGTATTTTATATTCATTCTAATCCTCATTTTCTTTTTAACGATTTAATTATGAATTACTACAGTAAAAATTGATAGATTTTGTTACTCTACCAGACAATCTAAACATACAATGAATAACTGCTTGTCAATTAAAATAAATTATCAATAAAACAATATTCACTAAACCGTGTCTAGTTTATCTACTCACAGACAGACACATTTATCTGAAACCTAAACAGAAAAAGATAAATGCATGCCTACATTCAATTAACCTCATATTCTTCTTACATAGTTCTAAAACTAATATATTATTTCAAAAGTCTTGAAAAATAAAACATAATCAATGCATTATTATAAAAAATTATATATATAAAGCATATACATAACTGGAGTATAAGAAAAACACCTATTTGAATTAAATTTAATTCTATATTTATTACACTAATAAATTATGAAAACCGGTTATATAATTTGCAACTTAAAAAAACAGAAAATAATTACTACCTTATGTTATTATATGTATTGTCATACGTTTTATGCAAACATGAATAAGTAGAGTGAAACACTATAGGTATACAGGCTAGGATTGTGTTCTAATTTAATAACCATACATATCAATTATGGCCCATAATAAGGTATATTGTATGCATAATAAGATAGAATTATAAAAAAAATTGTATAAATACAAATATAAATGCATCTTTATAGGATCCATGTATATTAACTAATTTATCATATTTAAGATTTAATATTACTTGCTTATCATTTCTGTAAGGAGAAAAGTGCCTAAAAGTAAATGAATCAATTATAAGAATGGTCACACCTTTTAATTACTTCCATTTATTAAATGTAATAATTGCAGCCTCTTTAAAATATTCTATATTTTGGACCTCCCAAATTAATGATGTTACCAATCTAATAATAACCCAGCTGATTAGCTTTATTGGTAACTAGGATTTAAACTCATTATAATTATATTATTACCACCATGCTCTAGCCAGTTGACTACATCATCCCCTTGCATTTAATCAGAAGAACATGTAACAACTAAGATTGTGATTAAAGAAAATTTCAATACAAATAAATTAAGTCAAGACAAAATAAGGTGAAAAACATGTCCAATTGATAAGATGAACACAGAAGGAACTTTGTTAATAATAAAAGTAAGCAGATTTATTTATGATGGAGTACTGATAAAATAATCGAAAAACTGATATAAAGCAGGTTAGAACAAATGTGCCTTTTTTTCCTTTACACAAATAATAAAATAAAACTATCCAAATTGGGACCTGTTCAAAACTATGAATGCAGCCATATTTGCCCTCAGATTATTTGAGAAATGTAAAACCAGATGAATAGACAGAATATACAAAAATACCTGAAGTTTTATCAACAAATTAAAGAACTATTACTCTAAAGAGAGATGGTTTAAGAAAAGATTTGCAGAATTAATCCTTTTATTTTGGATTCTAATTATTTCCTATAAATGATTTAGTTTTGTAATAACCATTTTTCCTGTCTAGTTGTTATTTCTTTAGACTGTGGAATATTGATGTCTTGGAATATCTGTTCTTATCTATGTAATTTTATATGTGTAACTTTATTTTATTTAGTAAACTAATGAAATAGTTAGGCCAAGAAAATTTGTGTTATGATTTTTATTCCGAGGAATCAGAAATTCATTATATTTTAAAACTGATCTTTAAAAAAGAAATAATAACTGGTTAAACAATTTAATTGAATCTTTTTAAAACTGAATTTGATAAACTTATCAACTTCTATCCCAATAAACGTATTAATAATTTAATAGTAATCTAAAATAATAATCTGTTGCTAATTACTTCAACTTTGTTATATTACAACAACAATAAAAACTCCCAGCTTATTAGTCCACTAAGCTTGTACATAACAAGTTGTACGGAATGATGGTACATTTCTTTTTTTTTTTTTTTGTTGTATGGAATGTGCCTGATATGCAAAATCTAGATTTTAGATCTTGGCAGCCTCCAGGATCACTTTTAAATATCTCAAAAACTGCTAAATTTTCACTCTTTTGTCGGTTGTTCCCCATTTTGACCATGAAGAGGCATGTTTACAACAAAAAATACTCAATACATTTTTAAACTAGATTAAATTTACTACAATTTCAGACCATAATAGACTGAATAATCCTAATAGATTTTGAATTACAGCTTTTCAAAATTTGGCAAATTTTCAAAACTTGAAAATTGTAAGGCTTTATAATTTTCATGTTCTATCATATGCAATTGTCTTTATATATTCCATAACCTGTCTGATATGAGCTAGTGAAATGAACATTTATTCAATTTAACATTTTGAAGGGGAGTGGAGGAGGAGGGGGAAGATTTGGTCAGAGAGGGGGTTCACTGTTAATAACTAGATGACTGGATCACATACAACTCCCTGGACTAACGGCAATAGAATGAAAATATTAATTTATTGAATATCCAAAGGTAAAACCTTCTCGAGAAGTCCTGATATAAGATTTTATTATAATATATAATATAGTATTAATTGAAACTATGAAAGAGGTGGATTGGCGGATTTGCATGGTCCTGGTCCTTCGAATCAAAGAAACCTCCTTTAATTCACATTTTGTATACAATTTCATGCACTTCATTTACCATTTTTGTATACACTTGATATAAATGTTTATTGAATACATTTTGTATTTCAATTTCGGTTGTCTGGTTGTGGTCAGTGAACCCTCCCCCCTCCAACCAAACTTTCCCTCTCCTCCTCTCTCTCTCTCTTCAAAATGTTAAATTTAATAAATGTGTATTTTTATTATAAATGTTTATTCAATTATGTTCATTTTAGATTTGGAAAATATGCTAAATTTTGAAAAGCTGTATTCAAAACCAATTAGGTTTACTGAGCCTATTCTGGTCCCAAATTGTATGAAATTTAATCTAGTTTAAAAATGTATAGAATGTTTTTTGTCAAAAACATACCCCTTCATAGCCAAAAAGGGGAAAAACAGATAAAAGTGCGAAAAATTAGTAGTTTTTGGGATATTAAGAAGTGATCCAGAGAGGCTGGCATGGTAGAAAACTTAAATTTTGTATCTCAGTCACATCCCATATAAAAAAAAAACACCTTCTACCACCACTTGATGCAACTTAGACCCCCTTTTCTTGACAAGGTTATTGGACTATGTACACAATTTTATTTAAATAGGCTTGGCTTGGAAATTTAGACTTTTTTAAAATTTAATATATTATATATTAAATTAGAACATTTTGATATAATATTTCATTTAGTATGGTTTCTGAAAACTTTAAGTAATAAATTTAACAGATAAAAAAAATGTTGGTTTTTAAGTCTTAAGTTGTTATATATTTTTTATCTCTTATTAATTATAGAAAATAATCAGCGTATTACATTAAATTATTTTTTTACCATTACTGAAATATTCGATAACCAATCCGTTGTTTCAAGGTTTAATCATTATAGATATCAGTGTGAGAATTACACTTTTTAGGCTCTGAGACAAAATAAATTAGTTTTTTTAATCATAGTAGAAAATGCTTTACAAAAATCCATTGTTAAGTTTAAGAGGTAGATT